TCGAATAGTGACATTTATTATATGATTATTGCGAAACTAAGAATATATTTATTGCGATTACGCGTTGATGATAGTTCATAATGATAATAATGAAAGTTTACATTAAATATTTATTCAATATAAAAAGAATCATTTATATCTACGTGATAAATCCACGTTTCCTTATCAATCCTTCTCATTAAACAAGGTTGTGCGGCACGTATTTATATTTGCCATATAGATAGAAAAAGCGAAGTTATGAACGCGGCGAAAGGGAAACGGCGAAAGACACAACGATTAACGCATAGGTGATGTAAAGACGCAGGGGTCGTAGGTTAAAAACTGTTAGACGGAGAATTTGCAGTAGGATTTCTTAATCGCGCGAGACTTACCGGGTTTTCGCCGTTTGGTCAACTTGCGGGAGCGCCGATAGGCCACTACTAATATCGCGGTCGCGCAAATAATTTTGCAATAGTATTATACAAGAGTGCACACACGTGGAGTTGAGAAATAACTAAATTAAAGCCTTTCACTATCCGGTGAAATTATTCTCATCATATGTAATGCTAAATATTCCTTATTTATATTTGATAGGAAATATAATAATATTGTTTATTAAGAGCTCATAGATTAAATTAATAAGTTTATTTCCACTGCGTTTTTCTCTTCAGAAAGAAATCAATTGGTGATTTATCAAAAGTGTAGCGCAATAACCTTGTTTTGTATAATATGAGGTACGAGAAATATAAATTCCATACGGACTAAAAACGTTTTGCATGTACTGCGATAGTTCGTAACAGCTTTCTGGCGTGTCGATTAAAAACAATGAGCAAGTACGTGCTGTACTCGTTAATGTCTAGATATCTACATACTGCGTATACGTGGCTAATCATTACTCGGCGTATAATTAACTTAAACAAAGATGTACGATAGGAGCAAAACATAATGTAAATATTGTCTAAGAAAAAAAAAAAATAACTGAGAGTATATGATATACAAATAAAATAACGAATGAGAAAGAAAAAAGCGAACGATGGCAAACAGCGTTTATGAAAATTAAAGAAACAAAAAGGAAAAAAAAAACCCGTTCGACAGATCGCACAGGATCGACGTCAGGCGACACTGTGATTATGGAAAAAATGGCACATTTATTATATTAGTGATAAGTAATATTACTAGTGATATAATTACATATTTTTTTTCTTTCTCAATCGATACACTTGGTCACTCTCTCACACGCTTTCTCTCCCTCTCTCGCGCTCTCCCGCTTATTCTCTCTTTTTCTCTCTCTCTTTCTCTCTCTCTCTTGTTCAGTTTATGTATTTATATTCTCATATTTCATTAATATTAATAATCGCATTCTTCCTATTCGCATGTAGGGTCGAAGAGATCGGTTTCAATATCCTCCAGGCCCATTCACACAAACTGCCTACAACCCACTTACGCATCAATCTTTTTTTTATTACATATTATACAATACTATATGCCTAATATAGTTACACCTTACATGATATGATAATTATCGATTCGCAGTTGTAGCAATAAAACTGAACCCTTACGTAATTAGACCGCAACAAAGAATCCCTCTTACGTTCTCGTCGATATTCACGCTTAACAGTAATTATAAATTGATTCCTCATCGGAGTTTACAATCAATCCGAATCAACACCAAACGAAAGTGAGGTGTCCCCGTGCCCTCGATATGCGCGTGTTCGAAAGTAACGCCGTTATTAAAGAGCATAATTATTTCGTTTTCATATACAAAGGTCTGTGTGAAGGGACCCTTACGGCCGACGATTTCGACTCCGACCCCCCCTCGTGTAGACCTCTTCGCTCTTTAGCTTCACTTTGACTATCTACGACTATCGACAAGTGTCTAGCTTAGACTGGCTTACGAGCTATTTATTGTCGTTATTATTTTACATGATTACCTTCGCGAGTACAACTGTGTGATCGTGTATTTCATTAGTATCTGTGAGCGGCGCTTTCTGCAGTTTATCGCAATATACAATAATCATTATGTTCTCTCTTCCTCTTTCTCTCACCGTTTGTTAAGTTTCATAAAGCGTCGCCGAAACGACGGAGCATGATTAATGATTATTAATTAAGTGTGGAGCGAGGTTGCGCGAGTTCTTGCCGATCGGATTACCTACAGCCTACAAATCCTGATCGAGAACGGAAGTGATTTTATGATAAGTTTATGATCTAAAAAACGATTTCAACGATTTTAAACTTAAAGATCAATGTTGAAACAATCGTGTTAATTCATCTCGTGTCTATTACTATTATTTCGGAAACACTGAAAGATAAAGAAATTTTTCATATTTGTGATGTCAGTGTTGTATCAAATATTACACACGAGTATTAACAGTACTTGGTCACCCGTATGAATGCATTTTGATTTGCAATCGTAGAGTGAATTTTATTCTAAATTCGCACTGCTCGACGATAAATTTATAAAACATTATGTCATTATATCTTCTGCAATTGAGACAGAAGTGCAATAGTTTATCAAAATCGATTAATTAAAATACAGTTGATTAAGCGAGAAAAGATTAGTTTAAAAACTGTTTTTAAACGAAATTTCGGACACGCGGCATTAAGATTTCCTAGCGTTAAGTAATTTCGTGAACATTTTGCAATAGACAAATCATGTATTTTCAGAAGAACATGGTTATATGAAAACGATCGAGTTGAGACCACAGTTGAAATGCATTTAGAAATTGAGCGACAGAGAAAATATTTTTTGCATCTACAATAAATATACTTATGATATGTGTTTGACATATTTTGATATGAGTCAAGATTTTGAAATTCGATGAAGGGAAAGAGTTTGTGTGTTATAGAACTTGAGCCTGAGAATAAAGAGCCTATATAACATTTACGATCTTTCGTAACCTTTATAAGATGCTGTCATGCTTTTGAAGAAAAATATAGCTATGTGTGTATTGTATATAAAGGAAAGGAATGGATACTTTTGATAGATAAATAGAGAAAGAAACAGAAAATAGAATAGAAAAAAGGCTGAGTAAACACGGGCATTCGATGTGTTTTCGTTGGTTTCTTTTTTTTCAATAAAATTTATTTAAGAATCTAAATAAATTAAAATACATTAATTTATTTAAAATGGCAACTTTTTTGCTAGAGATATGTTTGAGCTATATTTTTGTTCAAAAACAAAAATCTCCCGCTCTCTTTTCTTTCATGAAAGATCTCATTGGCGGTAATTGATAATAATTAATAATAATAATTAATAATAATTAATCATGATTATGACAGATTGGTTCTCGTACTTGTGCGAGCTAAATATCGTGTTTGTAACGACTTTTAATCTTATCAAGCTTATGTATTCCGTTCGTTCGCTCTATATTCCATTTCAACGCGTACATATAAGTACAGAAATTTTGCCCGAATAACCGATGGCGAAGGTAGCGCTCTGAAGATCCAAAAATGTCCAGAGTGATTCGACGATGTACCAAAACCAGTGTATGCCATCGAAAGATCGTCTTTTCTCTAGCAATGCAGCATCGAGAAAGAAAAGCACTGGACAACGCATTTTATGAAATGTATCCGTTAACATATGCTGTTATAGGCAAGAATATATATCGCAACGAGCATTTGTAATATTTTTCGCGCAGTGCGTACCTTTTAGCACATATAAATGCTTCTCAATTCTTGTTAATGAAATATCGCAATATGCGGGCACTTGTCACTGCAAATATTGCTACGGAAACATAAAGCAGGCAGGATAATTTTGGATTAATTGTACGAATTCTTCTTTTCTGCTACTCAATGCTTTTCTCAATGCCGCAATAATATTTGGAACAAATCATATCGGAGTTACAATTTGCATCAATGTTGAAGCACAGGCAATAGAAAAGACAAGATAATTAGTAAAAATGATTAATACATATAATTCAAGGTGCACTAAAATGTCTTAAATTAAAAGTTCTCCTCCATTATTCTTAAATTAAAGATCGTCCAAACGACCGTTGAAATAAAATGATATTAACAAATCATTTGTTGCAAGTAATGCAAATGTTATCTCTTATAATGTTATTTCTTATAATGTACGCTTCCGGTTTTGGGCACGGATCGTTCACGCTATATTCCTACAAAATTACCATAGGAATATTTCATACATTCAAAATAATTAAAATGGCTTAAAAATGAAAAATAAGTTTCATATACACGGAGAAAATTTTATATCTAAAATTACTATGTACGGTAGTAGCTGCGGAACATAAAGGAATTATAAAAATTTTTACTATGTTTGTCACATATGAAACATAGTAAAAATTTTTAGTCCGCGGCTGTACATAGTAACTCGTTTTGATATAAAATTTTCTCTGTGTAGTATCGGGCACATATAAATTATACTTATTACAAACTATCGCTCAATGTTTTAATTCAGCTGAAAGTTAAAATCAAAAAAGTCCTAAATGGCACTTAAATGGCATACGTAATCAAAATTCAGGCGTAAAACGTTTGAACAGTAAAATAAATACATAATATGAACTTCATTAAGTAGGATATCTTCGTGACCGTAATTATTTGCGTATTTTCTTTCAGACAATAGTATTGAAAAGTTAGAGTATTTCAGCACGATGTCATAAGAAACACTTATTGGAAAATTGCAACTCCTTTATCAAGACAATACTTAGAAACATTTATATTTTAAGTCATGAAATACAATATATGTAGTATTAAGGTAAGGAAATCAAATTTTTTACAAAAAAATATAAAAAATAAGATATGAAAAACTCTTACCTTCGCTTTTCTTAATAAAAAGACATATTTTAAAAGTTCATTGATATTATCTTTATCAATTTCATTTTATACTACCTTCTCACAAATGTCGTTAACTGCTTCGTTATCTTCCTTTTCCTCTCTCTTCTCTTTCGCCACTCTGTTTCTCATTTCATTTATCTTATTTGTACTTTATTGTTCCGTCATAATTTTTCTAAAAAATAATATAAAATAATATAAAATTTAATTATAATAATTATAATTTTAAAAAATATAAATTGATTAAAATTATATTTCTTTTTAACAATGTAACATGTTTTTCATTTGATTAAATCTCGTAAGAGGAGTATTGCTTTCGGCCGGCTTTTTGCGTGCTTTCACTGGCTTATATACCATTGCCAATCTTGATAATCTTTATATTTTTGCACTCAATAAAATTATTAATTTATTTATTATTTCTATATTTAAACAATTATTCTTTTTTATTCTCCTTCAATCAAGTTGTATCGAGAGAGAAGATGCAAGTGTTTCAGAATGCGATTTTCTTGTGACACCGCGAAACCAGTTATATATGTTATATATGTAATATTTCTCGCGAGCGTGAACGAACCGCTAGCATCTTCAATTCACATTCTGAACGCTCGTAAACAATAGTCTATGTACAGTATTGCCAGCGTCTAATGATCAATATAAAGGCAACATACATACATTAATATATTACATATTTTTGTATATTATATACAATTTATACTCGGCCAAAAACAAGCAAGTCACACAAGGGATTTCCACTTCGATTCGCGGCACCGATTCTATCAATTTCGACAATCAAACAATCTAAGTTCTAGATAAATCAGTAAATATGCTGCCTTTAATTTTATCTTTAGTCAGTGGCTCTGTTTTCCGCCAACTCGAGTTCTCTTCCTAGCTATTGCGCGCTATAACGTAAACGCAATGTGTCGGTAGTGTATACACAGAAATGGGCAATTTAACATGAGTCAGCAGCGAAGTTCGACCGTTAATAAAACCTCGATCGTACTACACATTATATATCTCGAAAGAGAGGAACCATATTCCTTTGTTTTTTTCTTTTCGCTATTTATAAAAATAATTTGAAGCCGCCTTGAGTGGGTAGATGCTTCTTAAAACTACTTGCGCTATGCTTGCGTGAGCATACAAAATTTCTTTCTTTGTTAACTGCATATTTTAGAAGAGCTGTGCAAAAATTATGGATATTAATTATTACGCCAGTCCGATCGTGACGTTGAAACATATTCGTCCAATCGATTGACAGTACATCAATTGGTCAAAGTGGCTCAATCTTTAAAAAGATTGTACAAATATGTCAAATATGTAATAAATCAAGATATATTAAAGACACAAGATAAGAAATTTTCCTTTTCTTCTTTCTATTACGGTGCGCGTAATATTCATAATTTTTTATACATTCGCACAACTCACATAAGAGCAGAAACAAATTTATATATGAATATGCAAGTCATATTCGTAAATTCATCGATTTAAGATGTATCTACCCCTTAACACAGAATGACACCGCCGCTGAGCCGCTGCTACTGCGGTTGCGGAGGATTGTGCTGAAGGGAAGGTTGTGGACCCTAAAACAAAAGTATATATTTTAGTACATACATCTCTCACACGTATTCGCACGTATTTAATATTAACGATATCTTACAGGTAATGCGGGGAAAGGTGGCTGGGAGTGTGTATGCGGATGAGAATGCGGATGTGCTATGTGTGCTGCAAGATGGCCTGGTAACTTGGGACCATCCTCGGCTTTTTCCTCTTCTCTTCTTTTTAAGCACGCAGCCTTCGGGTTAAGATTTCGTTCTAAACAAAGAAAAAAATATTGCGTTATACAGGCGACAGTTAATTAATACAACTATGATGAAAAGTTGATATGTACCTCTAACTTGTTGTTCGAGTGTCATTATGACTTCGACAGCCATATTGAGAATACCGAGTTTCGTTTGAGGTTTATCCGTCTTCAGATGCGTCATACACATTCTACCAAGTTCCTTCAAAGCCTCGTTAATATCCCTGATACGTATCCTATAGTAATGGGTGAAATTTTAACGATTAGAGCATTAATTATCCTGTTAAGAAATGCTTAGCCAAGTACCATTTTTTAATTTTGATATTAGAGAATAATTTTTCAACAAGAAATATTTTCTTCAGCAAAGGAAATTAGTGCAACAGAGAGCAAATTTGTGCGAGAAATATATTTTTACATCAATACAATATCATAAATCTCTTGTAATTCTGTAAACACAAATCATTAAAATCATGCAATAGAAAAGACTTTTTCGTGTATATATCAGAACTTGATGATTTTGTAAAATAGTGAAACATGTCATTTATTTTTATTATCATTGGAATCATGTTATATTGTTGTCACATATACATAGAATACGGGCCGCTGTTATTACCGATCAATTGTCTCGAATCACATCGCTAGGGACCAACTAAAAATTTTATCTCCGCTGCGTACATCACTGATCTTACCTTTCCCTAGCATTATTTGCTTGCCGCCTCTCTTTCTCTCTTTGTGCCTTCATATCAGGATCATCGTCTTCGTCCTCAGCGCTCGAACAACAGTTGCGCAATAACAATACGCGATTAATCACCTGACTTACGTCACAACTTACGCTAGCTTAAATTACCTAATCAAATTACTAATATACTACAGTCGCAAATTTGTCAGAAAATTGGTATTACGATTTGCTAATACTTTAGTTAGTTGTTGTTCGAGCGGATTTCGTATATGTTTTTTTGTCGCAATATACAAACGATATGATAATGAACACACGCAGGTGGTTTCATTTTGAAATTGTGGATAAGTAGGTTTTATTACGAATTTAAAGGCCCATATTCTTTGCACAGAACAAACAATCGATGGCGAACAATTACGCCAAAGGACAATGATCGTGGATCGAAAAATGTAGATCTTCTATTTGGATGTTGTTACCTAGAAAATTCAGAATGCAGATGACATCTATAATTGTCAGTGTAGTACAGGGTTTTAAAAGGAATAATGATGTATAAAATAATAAGAAAATAATGCACAAAACATATATGATTAATATCGAATTAAAATATTTAATAATACACTGTTAAAATTTTTTTTATAATTATCTTTTGTTAGAAATATAACGGCTATAATAAGATTTACAATTTTACATAATTTTAAACGATATAAGCATTTTCAACATAAGTGAACAAAGTGTGATTCATCCGTCTAAAAATAATATGACATGTTCTTTTATTCGAAATAGACAAAGATAGTAAAAAAAAAAAAAAAATGCAGTTGGGGAAGGAAAAAAAAATCTATACAACTGAGCGATTTGATGCAACGTTCAGTGATGCAGAAAAAAGTGCGGAATGTTCTAAACGAAATAGCATGCCTAGGGACCGAATTGCAGCTGAATTAAAATGAGACTGATTTGTAGGTACGCAAGAGAGAGTTGTCAAACATTTCATTTTGTCTCGTCTCATTCCTGTCCTTAACCAGAAACATTTTAATTGTCACGCCTGAATACGGGCCTTATACAATGCAACGAATGTAAGAAATTTTCGGACTGCGGGATATTTGGTGTTGTAACAAAGCCGTAAACATGCCACATGTTGCTCGATCGTTTCACGAGTGTGAATTAATCTTTTGCTTTTTTTTTTAATTTTTTAAATCGCTTCTCACAGATAGCACCTTGTTTAGGCATGCATACGACTAGAAGTAGAGAAGCTTCCTCCGAGCAGGTGGAGTTTCGTACATTACATTCGGTGATTATACACAGATATACGTACGTATCACTTACGTCGTAAGTGACATATAAGTATATATCGGGATCGTGGAGGACAAGAAGAACGGGATGAGAAGGTATTGTTTGTATCAAGATGCAACAAAGTGCGTAACTGCGTGTGTTCACTAACCTTTCACGCACGTTGTTGGCCTGTCGACGTTCTTTTTCGCGCACCGCTTTGGTGCCGGGATCGTCGCAGTCCTCGTCAGCGCTCGAACAACGGTTGTTCAAAGACAAAGCAAGTTAGTTCGGGAATAAATTTTCGAATGTCGATTGCAAACGTTTCAAGTTAATTCGTTCAAATCAATTTTCAAATCAATAAATCGAGCATTCTACTGCCCTTGACAGTTGGAGCGAAAAACAGTTCATACGCGTATCGAATGACTGTAGTTACATATCTTTATCAGAGTTGCGCGCTAAATCCGTATGAGACTTAGCATCGCCAATCGTTTCAAAAAATATGTCCAGATACTTACTATCTGCGCGATCGCTTCGTTCCCTTTCCTTGTGACGTCGAATTGACCGTAGCAGCGCCGATCACTCCGGCCGCTGCGAGTTCGCTGCTCGACGGCTTTGTTTCGCCCCCGCTACTGTCGGGCGGATCTTTCCTCTTTTCTAGGGGGATGTATTCTGTTCATTATTAAGATTGCTGCGTAAAGTTTCCACATCTATTGCATTGTCATATATAATTTGCAAAATAGAAAAAAATTAAATCGAATTCGTATCGATCCGAGTGTGAAAGCATTTTCATAATTCTGGAAGCGATATTGTCGATGAATTATAATATCAAAACATTTCTCGACAAATTAAAAGTACATTGTGACGCCAGCTTCATTCAAATATCGTCACTGATTATCTGATGCGATTGAAGAAAAGAAAAACGAGACAGCCTTATCCGGAAGCGAAGAAAGAATGAATGCGGCCGACCTTCGCCAAAGACGGCGAACACGATCTTTGATTATTCCCGAGCTTTGGGCGGGCAGCTTAGTCACGAAACCGTGAAAAACGTCCAATTAGGAGCAGGAAGGAGCGTTTTACGGGATTTCGCTCAACTCTGATTCAGCCGATCTCCTTAAACGCTCTCCCGCCTGACAATTCGCCACGTTTCGCGAGAGTACTAACTCACGTATGCCGCGCGCGAGTGCGGCCGTTTAAAAATTCCTGCGAAAGATAAATCAGACGCGCGATTGTGTGCAAAAATGCGCGATTGGTTTTATTTTGATGCGCCGCGCCAAAACCCGGACTACGAACGGAATGTTCGCGCTGCAAATATTTACGCGATCTAACGTACTTCCCGGTGCTAAAGTATTCGAGTTATTTCGTTTCCAATACGATATTTTTTCACGGAAATTATCTCACGTGAGATTTAATGAATTTTCATTTATTCATGCGATACAACGCGCATAAATAGTTTCCAAATCCGCAAGAATGCCCGGCATTCTTTCGGCCGGCTAACGGCGGATCTCCTAATCCGTAGTAAAAGGATTCCGAATGTTCTCCGTCGGCATAACGATTCTAATGGTAAAAGGTTGGAGGAAACAGACGCAACGAGGTGGAAAGAGAAACGAGGAACGAGATAACCAAACACACTCGCGCGGGAATAATGCAGGCACGACCGCTGGACAGCAAAGACTTCGCGTGATTTATCTAATATTTCCTTATTCGGCCCACGAGTCCGCGGTGGAACACCTGGGAACTCCTTTCCTCTTCCTCTCGTTCGCAATTCTCATGGAAAAAGTGATTGCTCGATGATGCGGTGGCGCGAGAATAGAATAGCGCGATTCAGATAACGCTGCAATTATAATTTACCGATATTTTTCTTATAAAAAAATTTCAACGCGAGAATAAGAATAGTTTGGAAAAGGAAAATTTTTTTACTATTAAAACCGGGAGATTAATTTTTTTTTTTTTCTACGTTGTAAATTATATATGAATTGGGAATGTCATTTCTCGAGGTTTCAACTTACTGGCATTCGTCACAGGTAACCTTTCGATTTTAATTGAACCGTCTGTGTCAGGCGTGGGCGTAAGACCGGGGTAGGAACCCTGAGGTTGCGTTACCGTTACCGCAGGATGTGGACTCGCCTGAAAAATAAAGTATTGAGCGTATTGCGAAATGTCGGGAAGAGATCCTATTCAATATGTGTCAATATTCCCTCGTGATTGTCGGAATTCTTACCAAATGATCCAACTGCGGTGGTGAGGTATGAGAGTATATCCCGCCGTGTGGACCGACCGGGGCGAGATGAAGGGCCACTTGACTCTCGGCGTGATTTCTCAAAACGTTTATGGCATCGTCTAGTCGCTCCTCCATCCGTGCCCCCTGTACCAACAGAATACCGAAAATTCGACTCGATTACACACCGCTGTTTGTTTTAAAGACGCGTCTGATGTCTGTTTCGACATACTTGGAGAATACAAATTACGAAATAATTTTTATTCGATTCTTAAACTTTACTTTAAAAGAGTTTCGAGGAAAAAGATTGAAGTAGAAAGTTCCTTTTACACTTGTCAGTTATTCCGCGATAGAAAAACAGTTAATTCCGCTGATTGAAGAGGTAATGAAAAAAGTGATGAAAAGAAGTCGGCTCGACAGGATTAGACTGCGATTAGAAAATCGAATGCGGTTTGTAACGCCGGCTGATCGAGACGCGATTGTGTTAATAGAAATTCAAGCTATGATTATAAATTGTGTGTAACGTATGCACAATATATAATCGTTATTAACGGAAAGCGTAATCCACCAAAAAGTGCAATAAACATGTTTTATATCTGATTCGTGATCTCGGCGTAAAGACAACATGCGTAAGAGAACATGAAAGAAAGTGAATGAATAAAAAGGGGAAGAAAAAAAAAGAACTGAAATTCGGCATTCCTCACCTCAGCGTGTTCGCGAAGATAGCCGATGGCATCGTCTAGCCTCTGCTGTTCAGGCGCCGGCTTCACACACAACACCAACGCAACAACAAAACCAAAAAAAAAAGAAGAAACAACCAAGTCAACACAAGGTTCACAACAAACAGGGCGAAATGAACGAAAATGTGTCAAATGAACGGGAGGGGCGATGAACTTAATGTGAAATTTTTACATACAGGGGGGAGGAGGATACGAATAAGTAGTCGTTCGTAAGATAAGCACACAAACGGTGATTTTTCAGTGCAACGCGATCATGCTTTTGTGCAAGTTTGGTGCTACATGATTATGTACAAAAAGAACGACTGCAATTTTTTTCTATAATAAGAGTTAAATTTTACATAACAAAGTTAAATATCCTTATAATTTCTTTTTCTTATTTTTTTCAGTCTTACATCGATATGATTTCTATTGTCGATTCCTCCGCCTCCCCCTCGGGAAAAAATAAAAATCGTATGTGCCCTATCGACAGTATTGTCTATCTGTCGCATTAGTGTGGACATGTAGCAAAATATTATTGAAAAATGTGCCTGACGCACTCGTCAAAATGTTGTCCTGTTGCGTGTTTCTAAAGCGGCCAAAACTGAACGCAGCGTGAATGTAACACGCGTCACAGAAACCTTTCAACGGTATCGCTAATTAACATTCTATATATATGCGTTTATTAAAAATTGTAAAATTTCATTTCAATACATTTTACAAATCGGCAAGATAAAAATAATGAGAAAAGAGGCGAACATTGAAAAGATTCTGCGACTGTTTACGTTTGTGCTTGGAAACTTCGGATTAATGTGTATTCAAATGATGCTTTGATACATACCATGTGGATACCGCGATTAGGGTCCGCTGTAAAATGCGGAGACACTGGCGCGGCTCCAGGTGCCCAGCCCGGCGCCGAGCCGGTTAAAGGTGGTGGCGAACTGACGGGTGTAGATGGATTACTGCTATAACTGGATACTGATTGGTCCGTGGGATAGATCTGGGAAAAATGGCGCAATGGGGATATTCAAATATTCAAGTGCGTATATCTTTCGTAATTCTAACGTTGCGATCAACGTTTGAAAGATTGCATGTGGTAGAATGCGAGTGCTTCAACATCAAAGTTTTCTCCGAGTTTGCTCAATTTACATTCATTTACTTTACGTCTTTTGCTCGATGTCTCTTCATTAATTACGCCTTTGATTCGTTAATTGCAAAATTTCACAACGTGAAACACATACTCGTGTGCTTACGACGGATGCGAGGGTTTTGCCGAGTGTGTCCTCCGTAGTAGATTGCTGGTTCGTCGTGGGCGCTGCGTTGGGCGCGGAGGGCGCGGTCGTCGGTGCACCAGGACTATGGGTATATTGCAACGATGCCGGGGACGGCGCCCCTGTGCCGCTGTTCGCCGCGACCGCGGCACTACCCCGGAATGTCGACATCGGCGGCAGAGAGGCCGCACTGGTCACCGCTGAGCCCAGAATCGGCGCTGGAGGTTCGCCGTTCGGCGACATCGCCGAGAATGCCTGAAACCGCCAAGCGCGAATGGTTCGATGCGTGGTTCTTGTGGTAACGGTCCCGGGCCGAAGTCGTGGGAACGCATGCTTGTGTCTTCAATGCTAATTGCCAAACTTGTGCGGCTTTGTATAACTGAATCTGTCCTCTACACTACGTTCTATCGTAGGATCGAAGGAACTTGGTACAGCCGACTTGTGAAACATGCAGATACGACATCGACGTACTGATTTATTTCACGTAACATTTGTGTAGCATAGGTTTTTTTTTATCTTCGTCAGTTTCGTCTCCGTAGGCTGGTGAAGAGGATTTGTAAGGTGTTCGGGATCTTGATGGGTTTCGGATAGAATGTCTTCTCGGGAACGTGTGAGCGAACGAGCACGAAAAATGTCGATTGATTTATCTTACGTAACTACAAACGATAAACATTCCCGTTACGAGAACCTCAAGTCGCGCGACTGCGGACGATTTGTACAGTTTCTTAAAACGCAAGTTTCTCTCCGGTCATAATGGATCGCATCGGCTACCTTTGATATCGGATACGCCGGGGATAGGCGCTCTCTTGCACCTACTGAAATCGCTCGTAAAAGTCTAATTTTAAGCCACCGCCGTGGGCTCCATGGTGCGTAGTGTATTTATCAACAAATTAAAGTGGCCGGGAGACGCCTACGGGGAGGCGTCCGCGCGGCGAGTAAAACATCGCCTTTAATCGACGCTTTTATGAAGCGGGCACAGCGTCGCGCGACATTTCAGAGTCGTCGACAGATATACAGAAAAACTAGAGACATCAGCGGGGGGATTCTTCCCCCACGCTTCTCGGAAGATGGATCATTAAACGAAAAGATCGTAAATGTTTAACGTCTCAGTGACCGAAAGAAATCTTACCTCGTGACGACGCCTGACTGCCATTCTTCTTGGGCGCGCTCGTCCTAAATCGTGCAGCGGCTTTACGACGTTTCTTGTCATATTACAGAGGTCGGAAGACCTCACTGTAGCTAACGATAATAAAATGGTTTGTCTTACCATCGTTAAAAGTCGGACTTTACGGTCCGGGAGCGCGCAGGAAGTTTACAGTCAATCTATTGTATATAACCGAGATGTTTTCTCGAATGTTAAGTAAAAATAAGACGTCAGCGAAAGACGTTTGCGATTCTTAGCTATTAGCGACAGCCCGTCGAAGGCATCGGACGATCGCGACGTCACACGCCGGCAACAGAAACCTCCTCTCGTCGTCTCAAAGAGAAAGAGGCCGTCGTCGGGAGAGAGACCGGTACGAGGTGCCACGAAGAGGAGGATTTCGTGGTAACCATGAACGGCGTAAATCAAACGAAGGCTGCACTTGACTAGAAACACGGAGTAGCGGGAGGGTCGGCGGTTATATATAGACGCCCAGTGAGTCATTTGACGTTACTCCGGCTACGCGGAGCACTGTCAACAGTGTCTCTCAACCATGGCGAAGTGATGAAGAGAGAGAGAACGCGCCTCTCTTCGCGCGACTGTCAACCGGGTGGTCCGAAATAAGACAGCCGGAAGAGTTCACCAGCTGGTCCGCCGGATCACGGTTGACGAAGAGGATTAGAGTCAACGTCGGTAAGTCGGAGAGTAATGACCGGGAATGGGCGAGAAGAGGAGCGCGGCAACGTTCTCGAGAGCGCTCGAGAGTAAATCGACGAGACCCCCGGTGGCGGGGATTTCACGCTGCGATCGGAATTTATCACGTTTCGCAGAAAGCCATCAACGGCGCGATAAATCTCCGAAAAGTTTGCGTATTTGCAAAGGGATGTTTTCGGACGGGCGCGCTCCGGAATCTCGCGTCTCGGAATCTCCGTCCGTCCGTCCGAGAAGAGTGCATTTCAAACAACCGCCTCCGTTCGCTTCGCCATACGCGGCCATACGATCGACCGAATAAAAGTTCGCGACAGCGAATACTCCAGCCCAGTCGGTTAATCGCGAATATGAGGAAGTTTGCGATAAAGTAGAGACTCGAGAAAATTCGAGTCTTCCGGATCGCGATCAATCTTTTATCGTCGATCAAATTTTTATCCGACACACCCGCCGATGATGCCACGCGCGCTTCCAAGTTTCTCGACCCTTGTAAACTTTCGCAGCGAAGAGAACACACTGCTCGAGGGACGCATCGATCTTTCGGGGCTGCGAGATTAGGGAGTCGCTCGCTTAGGTTTTAATCTGTCCGACTTCCCCGTCGGACTCTCGCGTGTTCAACGACGGAGGATTCGGGCGTCGGAATATCTCTCGTGTGTCAATTACCAAGTTCCCGCAGCGTCGTCGTTTTCACGGGCTCCGAAGGAACCAGTAGCCGAGTCGCACGCGTGATTGATCGTTTTTTCGGACTCGATCGCGAAGAGGAGAAATGGTCGGGACGGTGAGAGACAGGAAAGTAGATAAGAGGCAGGCGGAAAGAATCACTTACCATGGGGTCATGGGGTAGGTGCATGGGGTAAGCTGGCTGCGCCAGGTGAGGGGGTGCGTAGCCGCTGTATGGCGGCTGGACACCACCGCCGCTACCCGTCCAGTCAGCAGCACCGGTTCCCGCCGTATTACCATCTGCAACAAGAGAAAAACACCGTTTCGATCAATCATGTGTCATCCGATCGTCGGGTTGAATATCTGAGATCTACATAATCGATGCATTCAAAATTAAGCATCCATTTTTTGCGAGCAGATCCAAAATATCCTAGCAATTATATGAGCCTTTCGGAAGCCAACTTTATCTTGGCAGGCTTAGCAATTTGAAAAATTTACATTTCTTCTTCGCTACGATGCATTGAAATCTTATATTTTAAACAAAGAAGTGGAATATTAAAGTGTACATTTTACTCATTTTCGAGCTTTAGAATCTTCTATCGTAACATTTGATGAGTCTAGAATTTTAGAATTTATATTTTTATTACCGCGATGCGTTAATAAAATATTTATATTTTAAACAAAAAAAAAAATTGGTCTGAAATGTTAATCTGATATTAAAAAGTTAATCATTATAAAGAAATACTTTAAGTTTTTACACAAATTTAATAACTAGTTTCTCTTATTGCCAATATTTGTGTAGCACGCATAAATGTTATGTTCTCTGAAATAAAAAATAAGAAAATTGATAAACATTCGTTCCAATTACGTGCTCTGATAAAGTTAAGAAATTTACAAACAGTGGAATTGATAAGTTTGGCTTCTGAGAAGCTCATATATATTTTGTGATACATTATTGAAGATGTTTATTTTTCTTTTTTATTTTTTATTTTATCGTTTGCCAATTTTGTGAAAACTTTCTCGTTCGATATAATGAAATTACTGCACTACAGAATGCCGATAGAGTCCCGTCAACTAGCCGTGCACTTTCTACGTCATTGGAGCGGGAAACAACAAATAGTACTGCACGTGGCGTTCAGTGAGCGGAGAATGTCGCGCACGTGCCTGGATAATGGGCGTCGAAATCGAGTTAAAATGCATTGTCGCGACGTTTAACCGAGTTTCCCACTCGTCAGGAACACCTTGCACTTTAAAATATTTGTACAATTTCAGTCGATTAACACGACGCTCCGCTCCCGGGGACGCGGCGCGCCAAACTTCCTAATCAAGTAGCAATGTCATTCCTTGCGCAGTAATTATTTCGAGAACAAGTCCGCGATATGATACAACTTCGCTGGACTTGCGCCAAGTCGAAATTTCGCGCTTCCTAACATCTCACTCGGTCGCTGCGTCGTTTGCGGTGGCGCACACACACCCGGTATAAGGACCAATAGACGCGGTACACCCCGGGAACGCGCGGACCATTATTTCAGTTGAAAACAACAGCAATAAGCTTCGGGAACGTATTTCTTGATACTTTTGCTTGATATAATTCCCGTACCGGGCGCTCCTCGACGAGAAAACGGAAACTAAGCCAAACTACTCGGGCGTTCCTACCAACTACCGGTGTTCGATGTCTGATAAAACTTTTTCCACCTCCCCCTCCCCGCCCGTGGCCGCCCATTTATAAGCCATTCCGGTCAGCTACCGGGTGCTACGAGCGCCGACACGTATTTCGAAAGCGTACTTAAACTGCTACTTTTCTCATGTGATCCGCAATAACGAGCCCGAGAGGTGAAACTTGGTCGATATTATAGATCTAAATCATCTTAAATATTTGTATATTGAACCGTTCAAAGTTCTCTTTTTTCATATTTTTTCATTATCTTGCATTCTCAGTCGACATTTAGCGATACTCTTTTATCACAACCTGCGTTCTGCGGCTAATTTCTATTTCTTTATATAATTTATAATTTTTTTTTTAAATAAAGTAATTAATTGTTTTATTGTTAATTATTATTTTCGTACTTGTTCTGTTTTAAAATTCTAAAAATTGACTCTTAAAATTGTTTAACACAGTGTCTGATGATGAGTTTCTTCTGCACAATTCTGAGCGCCTGTGATGAACATCCGCGAAGCGTGACGGTATTCACCGCACCTGCGTTGCGAGATGACGATTATTTTTCATAGATCCGTTATAATCTACAAAGTAAACCGTAAACCGCAATTACACCCCTATGAAAGCAGGCGGCAGCTTCGACTAATGGGCCACTTAGAGCGATTCGACAATTATTTCGACGGCACGAAAAATCTCGCGCTCAAATCAATTTGAAGCGATAAATCGATATTAGCGGGCATCGCGCGAGAAAATATCGCGTACATCAAAGAGAAGCGACTTTTTGCAACGGAAAATTATTAAAATAGCGATACTAAGAGATGCCGAGCGCTTTAATAAGTGTCGTTACAACAACAAAGTAGCGCGATTCGCAGTGGCCGGTGTCGGAGCGAGCGCGGGAAAATTGCTTTTATTGGCAATATCTCGTCGGCGAAGTTCTCCGTGGAATTTTTTTGCCGACGGCAGGCGCTCGGATATATCCGCGAAATCCAGCGACGAACTTCGACGCCCCGCCGCCGTCGCTTGAACAAATAACGAGATTGTTATTGTTTTTACGCGCGACAGGCAGAGCGGCAAATTTTACGAGCGAACGTTAAACAGTTGAATATTAGTACGCTCGTAAAATCCCTTTTATCGTCCATTCGGATCGTTATGCGATTTCCAAATGATATATACGTACGTGTACATATACGCGCCCATGCCGATGCCTGCTGATTTCCAGATAACGATCGATCTATCGAACTACATAGGCATCGTATCTATTATATACTATCTCTCGTTTAATTATATCCACGACCGTCGTTATTGATTATTAATAGATATAAGTAAATAATCTAAGTCATAATTACTTTCATAAAATTAGCAATCGATAACGAACCTGTTTTCAGCGCACTATTTCCGCTCTCTATTAACGCAGTGCTTGCTTTTTTCGGGTGCTCGTCGATAATGACTCATTCGGCAAAATTTCATTTCCATGTTCAAAGTTATTAAAGTCTTAACTTTCCTTGTAAATAAAGTTCATGTTCACTCACCGATATAATAGGAGTCAGCATAAAGGGCACCTTTCGGCGATGTGTATCTCGGCGACTCTTGGAACTCATCCGAGCCATACTGCAACAAAGAATAAACAAATGCTCGTTATTAAAAATACCACATGTAAAAGTAAGTTTAAAAAATCCTAAAATTCGATTGACTAAACGGCCTCCGGTGAAATACACATGTGTACTGTTGCGGTATAAAACGGAAACGCCAGGGACATAATTTTCGTCGCGTCGTCACGTCGTTTTGCAAGCCGTAAACCTTTCCGTCGACCCGCTCGCGCTTCAGCGTTTCATTTCTGGTGTAACGCGAAAATTGCGCTGTAATTGCGACGATTCTCGACTCCGCGCCACCGGCTATTGATTAGACATTCGCGAAGTTGCGTCTCCGCTCTTGCAACACCTTTGCGTATTGTATTGTAGCGCGTCTCCATCGATCTTACGATAGACCCGGTCGACTATTACGACACCGAGCGACGTCGCGGCGTCGTGGAGGGAGCAGTCATTAATTCAGCGATGTACACGCGAGAGGAACGCGCTCGGAGAAGAGAAAATCGGTATGAAGTCATTAAACAGCTACATATATACATGCGCGCGGGGGTTATTCTTGCGCAACGCGAGCGTCAATAAAAATCTAAGATTAGGTCGTCCTCCGCGATCCAATTAATGCCGTCAATCTTCATAGAAACGAACAAAAGGCTCGGGTCTTAATGACGTTTGCCGCGCCGCGAGACAACATGATTCTATTCATAAAGTATTACACGTTTGGAGTAGAATTTTGCTTGCATTAAAAAAAAAAATGCGATATTGTACTCCAATCTTCAAGTTTTAGGTCAATGAGACAAGGCCGGTATGTAAGGCGTCGATGAATTAATTAACGCTGCCGGGATTAAAGATCAGAGACACGTACAAAACTAGATTAGATACGTATGTAAAACGTGACGCAAAACATAAACAGCAACACGGATTCAATTGCGATAAAAATTTGATGTCGCGCTCCAAATCGAGAATAAAAACATGTTATCGTAATATTATTCAATATATTTTAATCACTCATCCGTCAGAGTCATCAAGCTTAATATAAACGAGGAAGAATTCGCTGTTGACAAAAGTTCGCCGATCAAAGACGGATTGCGCTGTCCGTAAGCCGCGTCCCGAACATTCTCATGCCTTTATCTGCAAATTATTTTTAGCTTCCTTCCTCTTTGTTTCTATGTTTAAATAAGTGCTGAGCGCAGCTTCTGTGAGATAAAAAAATATTTAGGAAGCTGCTGCATATAGAGTGCGCAGGACGTGAATGGGTCCATCGATTGCTCCGGCGTCAACGCGTGGACGCGATCGAGGAAGCCTTGCGCGCTCCGCATTTTCGATAAATTTACCATTTTATAGTTGCCGTAGTCCGTGGGATAGACAAACATGTTGGCGGCGGGGGTGTGCGCGGTGCTGATTCGACGATACACCGACTCCGTCGTACCGCTGGTCATAGCATACAGAGCGACATACTATCGCCGCGAAAGCGCACGGCCGATCGAGCGGCGAGCGAAAGGACTTGCGCGCGTACGAGAAGATGACGAGGCGGAAGAAGAGATGCAAGCGAATCGGAGGGGAACAGGAGGAGGACAACTATCGCGCACCATACCCCCGTCCCAATTTCGTCGTGATATATGTTAAAATATTCCACGGTGCCGCTCTGCCTTATCCGCCTGCACCGCGCCGAAAACTTTGGTCCGCGATGCCTCTCTTCCACTCCCGTTCCGCTCGCTCCGTCTCTCTCTCTCTCTCGTTCTGCTTCTCCAACACGCCGAAAAGTGCTGCGCTCGTTCGCGGAGCGGCTGCGGGGAGGGCAAGGAGAATAAACTTCGCCCGCTAACGCGAGGACTATGGGGCGCCAGGCCGAAATTTAACGCCTTCCCGGGGCCATGAAAGAATCGTACAACTTCGTCGACGGAAACTTTGGCGCGAGTCCCGTCTACGCGCGGGAGAACGTCGCGGGGTATCGCGCTCGCTCGGGACTGCTCGTCGGGCAGATCGATAGTTCGCGGGCAGAACCACCACGTGCGAGTTCGGACAGACGTTAACGAGTGAAATCGCGCGCGGCGAGACCCCGACGCGTGCGGGAAGAACGTGCGTCCGAAGCGACGAGACCGACACCAACCGATATGGCTGGCTACGCGCGACTGCCGACCGCGGTATCGCGCGTCCACCAGCGCCGATCGACAGCGACGATGCCCGAGGTGGGAGTGACGCGCGACCCAATCGTCGCGGCGCATCGTGCGGACGCGTGCGGTTCCGCGCGAGAAGCGACAGCGGAGGAATCTAAAGGCTCGGGATATCTGAACTGCCGCATGGAAGAGAGCGCGCGATAAGTCCGCTCCTAATGCGCGTTGTACGAGCGGAGCAGCTTTCGTTCGTCGTGGCACGCTCAACCGAGAGAATTCGCCGATCGATTGGAGCTTCGCGTATATACGCTAACGATCGCATTAGCGGTCGATCGGGAATGCTCGTGGAGATTTATCTCGATCGCAGCGCGAGCTTGAAATGTACTCGAATGTACACTCTCTCTTTCTCGCTGCTTTTGTCTTTTCGCTTGCGTCGACGGGAAATAAAGTGAGTCGGAGATAGAGAGAGGAACGAGAACGCTATCGCTGACGTATGCGTGACAAATGGAATCGTTTTCGAGAGCGTGCAATGCTGGTCCGATGTATCTGGTGGAGATAGAAGCGAGGAATAATCGCCGTCCGATAAAAGTATCGAGTTTTATCGGCGAAGCTGGACGATAACGGCCTTACAAATAAGAACATTCCCGACCGGGAAAGGGAGGTTGAAACCGGTGGTAATCGAGTGATAAGCTGCGCACAGCTCGGCCTCTGGACCTATTAATTTAAATGAATTGCTTTGACAATCGCGGTCAACCTCGATACTTTGACAGCGGCAAAACTCGTATTCTCACATTTTCTCTCTTCCGTTTTCTTCTCTTCGTTCCAAAACTTGGAGCAAATGGAATCGCGGTGGATTTAAAATAAACAAATCTAATAAGCTAAGCATTCAAAAATTTAATATTAATTGGCGAACGAAAGACGAATGCGCGATGAAAATGTCTTTTTAATTAACGAAAAATTTAAATTATCTAGCGCCATTTTCGTTTATTTTAACTTCCATTCAAAGATTCACTCGAATCTCACGATTAGCCACGCGAAATTCGGTCGATCGGGCAAAAATGTTTACTAAGCGTGCCGCGTGCAAGACGTCGTTCGATATTCACGAGCCGACATCACTAAACGGACCATTAAATTATTCACCGAGAACCGTAACGGCCACTTTAACCCGCGGGCCGTGGACCGAGATCGGCTGGACCATGTGCGCGCGGGAGACACCGCGTGGACAATAATTCACGTTTTATTTCCACCTCGCGGCAGGACGTGTGCGGAAGAAAGGAACACGCAATGATAAAAATGTCGCCGCGGTCGACGCGGCGGATCAGAAATCTTAATATGTCCCGGTCGGGGTGTCCACGGTTGGCCCACGATGGAGAGTCAGCGATTTCCAGCCAATATAAATGTCCTACATTGATTTAGTTCACCCTTCTTCCCGCGCCTTACGACCCAACGCGCGGACGGGTGGGAAAGGGGGTGGAAAAAGGCGCGCGGGACGTCAGGGATGCGAGAGAGCGGACCCGGACCGGACCAATCCGAACGGAAATGTCTCTGTCAGGGAAATTAGCCTCCGAGGATCTGAAATAGGACAGGAGGGCGGCGCGCGGCGCGCTCTCCCTCCTGCGAGACGGATGTTATGAAACCTTCGGAAAATTGAGCACGTGATGGCCATCTCACGTTCTCGATCAACCGCGTCGTCCATTCCCTCGCACATACACACACGCCTCGGAGATTTTACATCCATGATCGTGATTCACAACTCGGCTGTACGCTCGCTTCACGCCCGCGTTTAAACTCTGTACTTGAACGTTGCCACGATTTGCAAACTGATTCAATCACCGCATTACTTTGCAACTGCGAAAGGCATTGCGTTTTACACGCCGGAAAAAAGGTATTAGTGTAAGAAAAAAAATTAATAGCAATTCTTAAGGCAAACCAATAAAAGTCAAGAATAGTTTCGACGTGCAACGATTGTAACAAGTGCGCATAAAACTCTGAAACCGATGACTGCGATTATTCTCTCTCTCTCTCTTTCTCTCTCTCTCTCTCTCTCTCTCTCTCTCTCTCT